GCAAATGTACAACGTTTCGACAAGGTTTTGTCATCATCAGGTACAAAACCTTGTCGAAACGTTGTACATTTGCTGTTATGTTAAACTTATATGAAAGTTTTTCTTCATTACCCATTCAAGCCATCTCCAACCATTATTAGTCTCAAAATGGGTTCCTCGTCATCGAATTCATTTCACTGTATTTACAAAATTTTTGAAACTTAATGTGGAAAGTAAAAATGTTCTTTGCTGTCTGTATTGTTTTTAATTTTATAAATCTGTTAAAATTTCCTAAATATATATATAAGGCTTATACAGATTATTCAAGAAAGTTATGAGAATTTGGTTGTAAGTACATTTTGTAATTTAAAAAACATAAGTTACACAAAGGTAAATTACATCTATACTTTTGAGTAACTGTGAGGTGTACAAGTTTATTCCTAAATGCTTGCCTTTTAAAACATCTAATTTTAGATAGAAACAATTAAGACAGGTTAGAGCAGGCTTCAATAAATATTTTCTGATCTAAGAGCCAGACAAACAATTTAGGAGCCAGGTGTGCTTAACCTTCATTACTGTTTGTACAGGGAAATGGGGGCTACACTAGTGTCTCAATTACCCACTATTTCTGTTAACAACGATTTTTTTTCTATCCCTGGACCTGCAGAGATAATCGAGGCATCAGTGTATAATTATTTACTTTCACAGAGTTCAGTGCATCCTAATGATCAAATGTTATCAACAACCACTTGATAGTATTGCTTGAACTAACTGCCTTTGGTCCTGTCTGAGTCTAAACATGCACACTGACTGGTTGAATTGAGAGAAAGAAGAAAAACAAAATGGCACAAAATTATTTATGTGTTGTGCAACCACAGCATTTCATTCCTGAAAACATAAAGAAGTGTTTAATCTGCCTTTAAAATCCTAAAAATAAAGTTCAATTTAGGACTCAAAGAACGTGAAAATAGTTCTGGACTTTCAAGAGTCCAGAACTATTCTAAATTCAAGCTCTATTTAGCACAGCTCAACACATGAATAAAATGGGAGAAAATACTAGGCACTACAATAAAAAATTAGTTGCCATGGCAAATTGGTGCCTGGGATTTGGTGAGGCCTGGTTTAGAGGAGCACAAAATAAATCTTTAACAGCCAAAATTAAATGTAATTGAATCTATGAAATTTTTAAAAAATCAGGGTTGTAGCTAGGATGATTTGCATGGTGGGTGGTAAAAACCGTTGCAATTTGTACTACCATGATGTCAGTAAAAGGTGCAAATATCATGAATCAAGAGAAGAATTATACACTATGTAGGCTACAACACTGCATGACATATGAACTTCAAAATTAAGAAATGAAAATATTTGCAACTATTAATTTTGGTTGTATTCATTCTTGAAACAGAACACTTTCGGGAACCCTGCAGAAGTAAATCTATTATATAATGTTAACTTTTTTTCAAAAGTAGCAAAATGAAACTATATGATGTCAAACTTGTGCACTATTTCTACAACATTGTGTTGCCTGCTTTTGTAGTTATTAGAAACTATCTTGTCTATAGTTGTAATTACAATACATAGATCAAATTGCAACAGAAAAACCTATTATTTAAGATTCAGTTTACTGAAAGTAAATTCTACTGTAGACAGCTTATGAAATATTCAGTATGAGAATTTTCATGAATACATTATTCTGAAAAATAGAATACAAATCTTTACTCACTTATATCAAATTTTAAGCTCTTCTTATGAAGTTTAAGACTGTCAAAAGATAAGATTTCCATACTAATATGCTTATGTTTAATAGAACATAAAATATCTTAAAAAACACAAATTAAACAATAATTATAATATCCTGAATTAACCTTCTTCAGTGATAGTGATATAGCAAATTGTAGACTATAGTACCCTACCTGGCTGCTGGAGAACTAGTGGGTGTCCAGTAACTATGGTCAAAGCAATAATAGTTGCTATTAATAGGTAATGGGCTCCTACTACGAAGATAAACATATTTCTCCCTTGAAAAAAACAAAGAAAAATATTTTATGACATATCTTTACCCAATTTAAAATTTTTGATACATATGTACAATACACTGAAAAATATTTACCACAAGATATTTCAAATATCATTATTCTATCTTATCCATTTCATATCAGGTAGGTCAAAAAACACATCACAACCTTTCAGAGATACATTCAACATTTATTGAAACTATTTTATTATCAATGTATACAACTAAATTTGGTATCAAAACGTAGTTAATAAATCAAATTTTAATACAAGTTTTTAGTTCTTAAATTTAAAAAGATATATTTTTTAAAAATCATAAATCTCCCCTGGTATGAGAATTGTGACATTTGCTCTCTAGGTTTCTCCTCTTCCCTAATTTATTTACCACCCTTCCCAGAAGTATAGAATTTAATGTAAAAGTACTCCTTTTAATATAATTATTACTCAGGCAAAATAAAATTTTTATAGCCTACAATCTTATTTGTTTATGGAGACAAACTAAAAAATCAGACGTAACTGCCACACCCACCTATCATATTTTATCTTTCAACAAATTGCCAACAGTTCTTTCTGACATTAAATTATGTTGGTTATAAATAATAGAGTAAGCCAAAGTTTTAACCTATCAAATAACATATTATATTACATTATTTTCTGTACAGAGAACTGTCTATGTTTCTTGCAGTTCAAACTTGAGCTACACTTACACCATGTAATTTACAGCTTGTATCATTGAGTTCAAAGAGCATTAAATCAATAAAATTAAATAAAAACAGATGTGAAATGTTACAAGCCTTATGATGTTTAAGATAAATAATTGCACTGTTACACTCTGCAGCCTTGAAAGAAAAGTGGGTAATTTTGATTTATTTTGTATTTAATTATGATGGCTAAAAGGTCAGTCAAGTTGAATGAGTCTGTAGTGTTATGATAGAGAAAATAACAGAGAAAATATAAATTTCTTTAAAAAAATTCTTTTACTATTGATTTCTGAGGTTTTAAAGGTTATTTAAATGGAATGTTTAAACTTAAGATGAAAAACTATCTTTAATCTTAACATAAAATTCATCTTGCACTGCAAACAGTCAGTGTGCGAGTCACACTCTGACTCCATATATTCACAGACAAATCTTTAGCAAAAATACTTTATTCAAAAATTCGATTATTTTTGCACAAAAGACATTTACTAAAAGTTTGTCAGCTTTCATGAAGATACATTTACTACATCACAAATTATAGTATTTATACTTTCACAGTTAGCTGGTGATTGCAAGGTTGGTAAAAGTAACCAAACCTGTATAGATAAAGTGCAAAATCCACTGGATAAAATTTGTGATAGTGATCTTGACAGAAATACTGAATCAACCACTAATAATTTGAGAAATATGGAAAAACAATATTAATATAAGTCCTGAAGAAGTTACCAAAAATTAAATATGCTTTGCATATATATTTCATTTATGATACATGTATATACAATATTGTTATTAAAATACATGTTACATGTAACTAACATTAGTGGCATAGGTGATTCAAATATCAGCACAGATATTCAACTAAAATTTTATAAACAATTAGATAAAGGTGAGAATTTGTTTTTTTTTCTCTAAAGATATAAAAAAGATACAAAAGCATTAGCCAGTTATAGAATTTTTTTAATGCTTCTGAAGAAATTATGATCAATTTAAGGTTTACAAATAGACATGAAATTGAGAAATTTTAAAAAAGATTAGTCAAGCAGACCCTGAGGAAGGATATATGTACACCAGGTTATTACACAGTTAATGACCACTGTGCTTAATGCACTATTTCCAGTCAGCATACTTTCATATATCTATCACATAGTTTCATAAAATTTCACTTACCACCAATCACTAACATAGTTCTGTGACAGCCACGACTTTAAAATAAGAATTTTTTGTAGTTTTGGTCCTACTGTTGCCTCAAAGTCCTACGAAGAAGAAAAAAAAAATGTTTCTTGTAGCAATAGTATTCCAAATAGTGTCTACCCCTACAAATTTGTACTGCAAACCAACAGTAATTGAAACATCTGAAGTATCATTTTAAATAACATCTTTTTCTTTTACAAGTACAGTTTAAGGTACCACTTGTTTAAACAACCTACAATATTCCTGACAAATTTTTTAGAAATTAGAAATCTTCCTTTGTCTAATTTTAGGTGTGTCACTTAAAGTTTTCCATACTTTCCTTTTGAAATCTTTAAAGTTGTAAATTGCTGCAGACATGTGAATTTACAAAAAACAAGAAATAAACAATTTTTGTACAAAACATTATAAAATGTTTCAATTCACTAACATTACAAATAATGTGAAAATATTTTTAAAAGCACAGCAAATATTATAATATTGCATCAACCCTTTCCAGACTGAATACTTATATTTCATTGTCATCAAGTGCAACAGAACAAACAATGATTGAACTTAGTAAGATATCATAATATGAATACTGAGGTGCTTATGGCAAATAGAGTAATGACTGTTCACAACCAATACTATCTATGTGTATAATAAAATCCAAAATAGTTTTTTACTCTACAGTGACTGCACATAAAATGGGTGCAGTGATGATTTCCTTCATATGTTAGTAATGTGCTATCACACAAATTTCCATATTTGCACACACACCTCAAGCTCTTGCAATCCTTTAATTACAAACCCTATAGTCATGAATGGTTTCACTGAATACTGAAAGGCATTGTCCCATGTTTTCCAGTTTCTGAGCGTCATGTGGATCTTCAATTTGACCTACCAGCTTGTTTCTGAAATGTTTTGCCACTAATATGCTCATCAGGTGAATCCATCTCGAACTTCAGCATTTTTCTTCTGGCAATACCATACCTCTCATGGTGAACATCCTCTACAATTTGAGAATCCAGTATTCATACTCTCAGATGTAAAAGAAAACATACTTCCACCATTTTACGGAATTTCTACCAGTATTGTACTGTCACTCCCCATCATGTTCTCTATATAGTCAGTGAGTGCTGGAGGACATGGAATATGAACTGCAGTTCCATCTTATTTTGTGTGAAATGTTACCCATGGTAAATCATCTGGTTGTTGTCATCTAGTAGTGGTTGGTGGATATTATTGAGCAGATAAACTGAACATCTGTCATACCACATACCAACAACTTTATTTTCCTTTGAAAACCACCAATACAAGCCTTGTTAACAATGTTGAAGTTGAGCTAGTGCTAGATACAGTGATTTGGGTAAAAATCATGCATTTTTATTAAGTGTTCCACATAAATAAACTCGTCTAGCTTCAAGAATATTAGCTGGTATGGCAGATGTATATAGGTGAGGATATTTACTCTCTCTATACCTGTAAGGTCATGTACAACATGCTGGACTAACTACATACGTGTTCTTGACCAAATTGTCTGCCAGTGTATATTTGAAGAAAGCTTACACAACCTGTCTTGCTTTCATTATGTGCACAACACTTTATCCTCCACTTACATGGTTTTACCTTGATGTATTGTTTTATTTTCAATCTCTCCTTGAAAGGTATCATAACTTCATCAATTGTCACATCTCTCCCACCTTTGAAGATCTCATTAAGTTTTAGAACAATAAAATTTAAGATGTTTCTCACTTTGTATAATGGATCAAAATTTGGAGATTGCCTGTTAGGCTGTTGGGTAATGTCACTGATGTGAAAGTATCATTTTATCTGTTTGAAATGATCTTGCGACATAACATTGGGCAACTTACTCAATGAATATAATCCATCTGATATCCAGTACATTTCCAGACTAGGAAAACATAAAATACCCATAGCAATTTTTTGCCCGAAATATGCTTTCATCTCATCAGCTGTCACTGGTTTTTATTTCATCTTGTGTTGTTATGCCTTACATGTTCAGCATAGTTGTTAGAAGGAACTGAAAAACATCATCTGAGATAAAGAGTTTGAAATAGCCTAAAGCATTCATTTCCATGAGTTGATCATAACTAAAGTTACAAGTTGGACCACAATTTGTATCATAAAAACCATGCAGTATGTGTGGCATGAAGTCATACTTCTTTTGCCATTGTGAATCTATTGAATCCCTGTTAGGCTGAACAGGTTGCACGTGACTCTGTTGCCTAGGAGGTTGTCAAACCCTGCCTTGTTCCCTTCCTCTAGCATTAGCATTCAGCCTCCTAGCCATAACAGTTCCATTGATATCATCATAATCACTGCCATCTGAGGAGGACGTTGCCTTTTTACTAGGGCTACTTGAATTTGAATGATTGGAAACATGTACAGCTACATCATCAAAATTTTTTGTCAGTGTTACTGCCACTATCAGAAATGCGATCATTGTCAACCTCTTGGACATCATCATCAAAAGAGAAAGTACCTACATCATCATCAACACTGAGATTGTCATTTTATGATTCAGCCAAGAAATCATCTGAGTCCTCTCCAAAACTATATTCATCGTTATCACCATCAAAAAGTGCATCAAGTACAGCATCACTGTTCATACAATGTTTTGTTGTTGACATGTCTAGCCTCTCCCCAAGGGCCACACTTAGATCATAATATTTCCAGAAGAATATATTAAGAACTCAAGTAACATGGGCACAGCTGCTTGCAATACAACTGTTATGCCACCTATTATCAGCAAAACTAACTATGTTCTTTCAAACTCAGCAAGGAGCATGTAGAAAGGGTTAAACCTCACAAACAAGGCTCACATTTTCAGTAACACAAACATCTTGTTGGTTTTCAGAATCTGTAGTGCATATTAGATGGGTTTAGACATTTTGGCAATAAAATTAAAAAAGCTGACCTCTACCTCCACATAATAATAAACTTTTTATTTCAGCTGATGTTTTGCTATTGCAACTTCATCAGGGCTAGTCGTACAAGAGCTGTTGAAGCTGCAAAGACAAAATGTTTGCTGAAATAAAAGCTTTTGTATTATTATCTGGAGAGAAAAGGTCATTGTTTTCAAATTTTATTACTAAAATACAAACATCTTTAAAAGAGTGTAAGATGATTAAAATATATAAAAAAGAACAAAAAAAAAACATTTGTTAGAAAATTTGAGAAGGTAAAAACAATGATTATATTAATACCTGTAAATCATTCAGTTTTCAGTACCAAAATACAAATGTTAGTTTTGTTTATTAAAACTTTAACAGCTACATCAGCATGATAAAGGCAAAAGTAACTTCTATTTATTACTTAACACAATCTGACAAAAGAAAAAACGTTTGACCTTGTCACACATCATAATGAAGTAAACAAGTGTTGGTGTTCCCTTTCAACCACTTTTCGGTGTTACAATTCTGACACCCTTCTGCCTTGCACATTTAAATGTATCCTTCATTTCTTTAAAGCAAACTGTCAATAACGAGTCTAATAGCTAGGGAGATGCAAGAAGTTAAAATACTTTTTACTTATAAAGACAGGCATACCTTAGACTGTTTCTTTAAAACTTGCAGTTCTTCCTCATTACAAAGTGGTTTTAAAGACACCATCAGTTTCTTGAGGGTGTCTCTAAGTGGTGGGACTGGCATACGAGGTAAAGAACGCTGACAACTATATAGTGATGGCTGATAGCCACTAACTAACTTCACCATACAACACCATAACAAAGTCCACTTAGACTGGGTCCGAAGATATTCATCTGTAATAATATAATGTATTTTTATTTGAAAAATAAGTGAATATAATTAAGATATTCAGTGATCTGTTAATACCAGATCAAAATGTGCATCTTCATTCATACAAAATTTCTTAACCCTCTCACTATGGGCAAGCTAAAGTGATTTAAAACTTGTTGGCAGGATTATTAGTTAGACATGGTACAAAGGGCAATAAAACAATAAATTTAAGTATAAACAAATGTCTACTGTTACAAGCATTAAACTATTTAGGATAAACAATTGTGTCCAGTTGCACTGTGAAGTCACTGTAGAAAAAAAAAAAGGATGATTTACATTTATTTCATATTTTTTTTGTTGTGGTTACAAAGTCAGTCAAATTGACTGAATGGGAATAGAGTTAGAGAAAATAACAGATAAAATATAGTTTTATTGAAAAAAATGTTTAATATATATTTAGGAGGTTTTAGAGATTACACAAATGAAATTTGAACATTTTTAGATAAAGAAAAGTATTTTATTTTTAATCTTAACACAAAAATCACTTTGCACTCAGAGAAGTCAATACTCTGATTCCCTAGATTTATATATTTAAAGACAAATTTTTTTGTAAAAATACTTAATTAAAAAGTTTGATTTTTCTGTGGCAAGCTTTCTGTTTACTGAAAGCTTGCCACATTTTGTGAGTATACTCTAAACATATTAAAAGTTATAGTATGGAAACTCTGATAGACACTTTGGGGTCACGAACTTCTTGAACTGACTGAACCCATAGCAAAAGAGATAATAGTGATAAAGTATCCAATGTAAAAATAACCTAGTCATAGTTTATTATAAAAATTCTATAAAATCTCCTTAACTACAATAAAATTTCTTCTGTGCAATCTCTCAAAACAAAATTGCATTCACTCAGTCTGCATCTCCCTGCTCCTTCCATGATGATGACAATGCTATTCAACTGATGTCATCACCACGTGTTCCACACCAACTGCATTCTCTCCGTGGCTTTCCCAACGAGTATGAGTCAGCATCTTCATTAACCCCACACGCCCATCAAAATTTCTCTCTACATATCTATATTTAATCTAAGCCCAGTGGCTCCATACAAATTCGTTTGGCACTTACTCTCTCAGCATGGGGGGTTAAGAGAAACAAAAGTTTCTGACCACACCAGAACAATGAATTCTGAGACCTGAAAGATTTTTAAACCTAATTCCTGCCATGAATTTGATTTTATAAAAAAATAACTATGTAAAAGATATAACAAACATTTGAAGATATTAGTCATTTTTAAATTTCTCATCCTAAATCAAGCAAATTAATCTCGTAATAATTATTATATACCATGGACTAAAGTTTACCTAAAACAAATACCATAAATGAATTCACTTTAGAAAACATCCAAAAGAAATTTAACAACACTTGCAACATTTTACAAACAAGAATCACAAGGCAATGAATCTTTATTCTTTGCAATTTTGTATGTGACAAAAAACACTAGGAAACAAAAATTCAACCAAGGCAACTAGTGCAAAAAGCTTATAATTAAAAATACAGCCAATGTTTAAAATGCACAATAAAATTTTTATTTGGCATATTTAAAGTTGGTCCTATTTTTAATTTCAAACACTAAGAAACAAATTAGCAGCTCAAAACTGAGTAAAAGAAAACAAAAATTTTAACATATTAAAAATGTGATTTTTGAAAGTAATGGTTAAACTGTTGAATTTACAAAGCTTGTTAGTATCCAAGAGATAGTGGGAAGTTATTTGTTTGAAACTATCAATTTAAATTTATTCCACCAAATATAAATATGAAATTTAACTCACACATCCACCCCCTGTAAGACAACAATATGCGCAGTATATACTGCCGAACCTTCATGAGAAGTAGGAAAAATACAAAACTAACGATGCATGCTATAAAAGCTGCCCGTAAGGTTCTTGGTAATCCTGGAAAACAAAAAAGAAAATAGTGTTAACAAAAAATGCATCTATAAATGATATCATTTGTATCCTTTGAGTTTATCAGAAACAATCGTAAAAATTATAAAAACTAACTCAATTTTAAAAGAACTGAATTATAATGTCATATTTTTAACATATAAAAAAACATTTTCTATATTTATTATAATTAGCAGTTGTTTTATTATATTTTTTTTAAAGAAAAGAAAGATAAGATGGCTAAACACAAGTTATGTCTACTCTTAAAAGAGCAAAATATCCTGCATGCTTTATATGTTGTGTACAATCTGAATATCTTGAATATGCAGGTGTGTCATGAGCCTAACAGCATGAAATAGGCAAATATGAACAATTATATTGTAGTATACAGTGTAGCTTGGTTCCAACAAACAATGCATTTTTGATTCCATAGATATCCTCCTAACCAATACAGATTTATCTCAGCTTTCTTACTTTAAGCAAACAAATATGTTGCCTTTTAGAGTAATAAACAACATTGAAATAAATACACATTTAAAAACATTTTAAATTCAGACCAATCTATGGCTTCCTAAAAGTTTACTACATATTTCTACATTTCAATGTCATCATTAGGAGTGAAATTGCAAGACATAATAGCTAAGAAACTATCATTCCTTAAGAACATAATTATCCATGTTTTGTTTTTCATAAATTTTTTCCTTCTCTTTCATTGATATTATTACTACAGCTTTATGTTCCCACCCCTTTTATAATCTAATAGCATGTAATCTGAATGATTACTAATTAAGCTCTGCTTTGAAAACTGCTACAGATAAAGCTTAAACATCACTGCATAGAGCATGTTCTAAACTATTTGCATCAAAGTACAGTAAGTAAAGTGATGCAAGAAGTAACTTATGGTTTTTGTGGGATAGTAATAAGACAAATCACTTGCAAGGAACAACAACTGAATCTAATGGAAAATTTACAAGATTTAAGAACAAATTACAAATTTGGAAATTTTGTTAATAATTTACTTTCATTTTTTTTCATTCCTTAAAAGGTTTTTATACTATATTTATATTTGTTTGAAAGTTAAAGAAATTTACTTCTATGAAAAGATACGAGGTAAGCTTAGTTTGGTTTAGCAAGCATGACAAGCAAAATATTCTGATGACTCACATACTTTTTTAGTGAACATTATTCTCAGGTTAACCATGTTCAAACAATGCCCATGAACAAACAAACTTATTATTTAAACAGAAATTTATCTTTTCCAAGAATATCTTTAGCAAAATACTGTTACCTAGTCTGACCTAATGTCACTTTGAAACATCGGATCCTAGGTCACCATTAAATCTTTATCAGATTTTGCAGTGACTACAGCAATTACCAAAATAAAGTAGCAAAATAAATGTGTCAATAAACATTAATCAAGTTGAAATTCCATAGATATATAAAATAAAAGTCTCTCTGGTCAACAACAACAAAACAGAATTTCTAAGATGAAAGAAGTTTAGTCTAAATATTGCTAATAACAAAAGTAGTCAACTGAAAAAATGATGTATTCTAAACATTATAAATAAGAACAACATATGTATATTAAATTAGTTATATTCTAATCTATGCAGATAGCTTGCTTTGATCAGAACTTAATAGTAATAACTATGAAACTGTACTGCACAACCTATGAGACTAATAGTTAAGGAGTTGTAACATGTTCGTAATATTCTATGTCAGAATATTTTATTTGGGATGTTTGCACTAAATAACACAAGGGCTATTTGCATTAGCCATTCCTAAGTTTGAACTAATAGACTAGTGAAGAGGCAGCTACTAAACAGCACCTTTCATCAAATAGTGGGATCTGACCATCATCTTATAACGCACCAATTG